TCCTATAGGAATTTAGAAAGCAGTGAGTTATGACTTCATTAGAGTAGGGTAATTCTTGGGGAGAAAAACAATGAAACATCCACTCAAATGTATTTTAATCCAAGACGACTTGCTATTTGACTGTCCCATACAATTCATCTCATTAGCTTAAATTCGTAATTGAGTCTTCCTTAACATCTGACAAGGGAGTGAACACAAATTTGCTTTTGGACTGTAATAATGACTTTCCATCACATTATTTACTGGAGAAACAGTGGCAATCAACAAATCAAATAGTACTATACCCATAGGAAGGATTGTAATGAGTTTCATTTTCCGTATTTTTTAAAATAAAAGCAAATAATCACGGTGTCCATATTTTAAAATCTTCATTCACTGATTTAACGTAAGTAAAGGGGAATGTAGAAACTGGCTATAATTTGGAACTGAAGCTGATTTGCAAGCTGTACTCACAGAAAAATGTTTGACTTCTTTACCAATAAGAAAATTGTCTAATTGTACAACTCAAAATTAATAGTTATTGTGCAATCTGTGTCTTTCGCAACAACTATAGAAAAGAAAGATTTTAATATAGTGGAAAATTACCTAAATATTCTACATATTTAGGAAACTACAAAAAAAATTTGTCTGTGGATTTAAAAAAAAACACAAACAAAATAAAGCAAAACCTTATTTATGTCTCACTTGGAATTTATGGCAGAAACAGGATGTAGGGTGTTTAAAAAAATAACTAAGCTTGACACTGCTGGCAGGAAAGTCAATGTGAACAAAAAATTAAAAACAGAGCCCATTCTGTGTTACCGCAGGGAGACAAACGAATACTTTCATTCAGAGTACAGCCCCCCTTACATGGATGAGAGTCTCCTTTCTGCTTTGGTTATTAAAATCCTTTTTAAACCCTCTGAGCTCTCAAGAAACTTTGTTTTGTTATCCTAAACCATGTTCTTCTCTGAAGTACTTCAGTCCTTCTCACACAATTTTAGCTTCCAGTTTTAGGCTCTTATCTCTTTGTTCCATATGTATCGTCTTCGCCTGTGGGGCCAGACTATGGGAACCTGAAGGCAAGTGGCCGGGCCTCATCTCGTACCATGTCTTTCTCAGGGCTGCAACCTTCCTGAACACCAGCAGCATGGAGAGTGGCTAAGAGCTCTACATTTCCTTCAAGTGATGCCTCCCCTACCCGTTAGCCATGCGACCTTGGGCAAGTTACTTAATCTTTCTGAAGCAGAGTTTCATCGGCTGTAAAATGGGAACAATAACACCATCAACCTCCTGGAGTTGTGAAATAATTCACAAGTGCTTAGCAGAATGCCTGGTGCCCAGGAAGCCCTCAGTAAATGGCAGCCTACCGCCGCTCCTGCTCCAGCACACATATTTGCTGACTGCTACGAATAATTTAAAATCTACCATGTCCAGAGACAAAATGTTGTTTTCAATCTGAAATGAGGAAGTCACATTTTTTTTTTTTTCCTGAAGAAGATTCACCCTGAGCTAACATCTGTGTCCACCTTCCTCTATTTTGCATGTGGGTCGCTGCCACATCATAGCTTGATGATGATGTAGGTCTGTGCCCAGGAGCTGAATCCATCAACCCTGGGCCACCAAGGCAGAGCGTGCCAAACTCCCCGACTACACCACCAGGCCGGCCCCCCCAGTCTTCCTCTTTTTGCTTGAGGAAGGTTTACCCTGAGCTAACATCTGCGCCAATCTTCCTCTATTTTGTACATGGGTCGTCGGCACAGCATGGCCACTGACGAGTGGTGTAGGTCTGCACCAGGATCCAAACCCACAAACCCGGGCCACTGAAGCAGAGTGTGCTGAACTTCACCACTAGGCCACGGGGCCGATCCCAGACGTCACATTTTAAATCTTGCAGTTTTACGCAGATGGTCTTTCCTTGTCTGGGGAATCTACTGGATTTTGTTGATTCTTTTTTTTTTTATTCACACTTTAATATCTTGGAACTTGGGACGTGTCTTACAATCCAATCTTCTAAGTAGCTGAAAGATGTTTTGTTTTGTTATCTTAGATTCAAATACAGCATGAACTTTGCTGATTCTTTTGAAGAAAGAAATTTTAGAAAGAGAAGTACAGCACTCAGAAGCCTCCATCTCTTCTATGTTGCTCTTCATGCTTTTAACGCTGCCCCAGAAAGCCCAGCCTCAGAGTGCCACCATCAGTATCCTTTAAATGCCTTAGGCAAAGGGACACTGCTTGTTTTACCAAGTACATGTTTTTTAAGCCATCTGACATCATTACAAATTGACATCACTTCAAATTGGTATCTGGTACTCTGAAGGCAGAAAGTCCTGATTATTAGAGCTTTCGCACAATTAAAACGCCTATTTGGTCACTACTGACTTGAAAAGCCTTAACGATGTTGATATATGTCCCGATTTTTCCAGAACATTTATGAGTTTTGCCTGTTGTCCCAGCACAATTATTAATAGCAACTCCTTTCATTCTCAGGAGTACCCTGGTTTGGACGATAAATTATGTGATTACCCAATGTGAAGACCAAGGTAGGTCTGAAATTTATGGCTTTAATGCCCTATATTTTAATTTTGTCTTTGTTATTTGTAAACCTAGGCTTCTAGTCAACCAGTCATTCATGTGGTTCAGGCAGTGTTTTTTCCTTCACGTTTTTGCCTCACATTGGTTACACAATGAAAAAGAAAACACACATGGCCCTAACTCATGGAGTTTACAATTTAGTAGAGCAGACAGACATTAATTAAGTAATTACAAACCAAAAATGTCCCAGATCCTCAGGAGAGGTACAAGATGCTATGATGGCCGATAAATTATAACCCATGGGGAGGTGGGATGGGGCATATGGGCAACAGAAACACACCTGAATTGTTTTTTGACCCCAAGAGGATGTTATCTCATTTTAACACAGTGTTCAAAGTGTCCTTGTGTTTGCCTGCCATGGTGAGGACACATTTCAGTACAAAGAGGCCCTTGTGAGGACAGGTACTAAATAATATTTGTGAGTGTGTAAAGGGCAAGGAGCAGAAAGTTAGCCCTTGGTTTCTTATTTGAGTGGCAAAACCACGAGGGAGCAATGAAGAGTGGGGGAGAGAAGTACAGAACAACGATATTTGGTATTAGTCCCTTGAGAGTAAAGTTGTACCAAGTTTTCTGTTTGTTTTGCTGTTTTTGTTTTTTCCCCCTGAATTCCTTTTGGAACACAGTTCTAAGTACATGGCAAAAATGCTCAGAGAATCTTGACTTGTGATGATGGAGGAGAAAATGAAGCCCAGAAAAAGAAGGCACAGAACCCAGATTAAAATAGAGAAAGGAGAGTTAAAAGGCGCTCTTAGGCCAGGCTGGCTTCTCATAGTACCTGTCTCCTTTCTGAGATCTACAGTGTCAGCAGCCAATGCAGACTGTGGGTTGGCAATTTTGGGGAAGACGAGGGAGCATGTAGGCTCTGAGAGGGACGCCATGGACTACAAATATGAAAAGTTTCTCCTCAGAAAGAACTGAGGAGGACCAGTAAGCCAGTGTGGGAGAAAGACGGCTTGCGAACAGGTTCCTAGTTATTGACAAAACACCAGGTGTGTAAATTTACTTCTGGGATCCCACATGATTAACTGGTTTGCTTTCCATTTATCTGTTGCCCAAAGAGCACATTTCCAATACAAATAGGCCCTTCCAAAGACAGGAAATTAAATAATAATTATGTAAGCGCACAGGGCCAAGGCCAGAAAAAATTTAAAAAGGATTGGTCCACGGTGCCTGCACAGAGAATCTACCAATTATGATGCTACATCTTCATCCACAGGCTCTGCACTAATCCAGATAAATGTCAACTAATGGTGGGCAAATATTTTATCTAGCCAAATTTTTACCTAAATGAGACATAACCATACTTAAAAACTCAGAAAACTCTTCAAAGATTAGAGATGACAGTGGCAGAGTCACATGTGTTTATTTTTCATTTAATGATGTGTGATTAATTAATGCATATATTTCACACGCGTAATTAATGCAAGTTGGTATAGTAGACAGAACTCTGGCTTTAGGGTCAGAGAGATCTAGGTTTAAATCCTGGCAATGCCATTTGTCAGCCGCTTGTTCTTGGCAACTCTTTGAGCCACACTTTCCTCATCTGTAGAATGGGGATACTATAATGAAATGTGGGGTCCTCCCTGAGTTTTGAGAATTTAATAAGATAACATATGAAAGTACTTAGCAGGCCTGGCACATAGTAAGCTGTCAGTAATCAGTAGCTGCTTTGATGGTGTTTTGGTTCAAAATTCTTATAAATAACCTGGATGATAATTTAATGCCTCTAAATCACAGTTTTCTCATATTTAATACTGGTGTAACTATACCCGCTCTGATCGCTTATCACAAATTATTATAGAGATCAAGGGAGATATTACATAGGGAATCGCCATTAAAACTACCAATTTCTTTACAAACGTAAAGTATTATCCTTTTCTCTCTATTATCTGTTTGGGTTTATAGCTACTTGAGTTATTTGTTTGTCTTTATTTAACAAAAATGCCCAAGTGAAGGAGATACACTGCTTTTGCTGACTTCTATTTGCAGCACACACATTCTAGGGACTCAGTATACAGTGGATGACAGGCAGATGTTAGGACTCAAATGTTCTCTGCAAAGAATTTTCTTCCTTCTCATTCTATTTCTTTCCTTCCATGTTCTATTTCAATTCATTCATTTAATACTTATTAAGTAACTATATGTCACCTTTTCTCCTTTTTGTCTAGGCTAGTCATAAAACAGCACCAATATTCAGTGCTTCTGCTCTTGTTGTTTGCTAACGTTGACCTTGGGCAAATTAAGCTCAATGTGCTCAGTTGTTTTTTTAATCTGCAAAATGGGGACAATAAACCTACTTCAAGGAACTGTTGTAAGAATTAAGTGAGGATTAAATGTCATGTTCAACAAGGACTTGTTGAATGAGGCTGACTGTGAATTCTCTCCTGTGCATTCAGCCCAAGGCTGTCCCCTTGAACTTGACTGACCTGTGAATGATGCGCTGGCTCTGCAGGTAGTCCAGGGCCATGGCCAGCTCACAGATGAAGAGCTTCACGGTGTCTTCCTGGAAGCGGACGTTCTGCTGCAGGTGATAACGCAGGTCCCCACCCAGCAGAAGGTCTACCACCATGAACATGTCTTCCTCGTCTTGGAAGGAGTACCTGCAATAGAATTAGAAGAGAAAATGTATTAAATACATCTACACACTAAAGCCTCCCAGAGACAAATGACAGCTTACAACCAGAGCAGAGTGTTCTTGAGCTAAAAGTTCAGGCTTTGGGAGTACCTGGTCTATCACTAGCTCTATGACTCTAGGCCCTCAGTTTCCACATGTGTAAAATGGGAATAATAAGATTATCTACTGCATTTGATCATAGTAAAGAATAAATATAAGTATAATATTTAACATCATGCCTGGCATATGGCAAGCGTTCATTAACTGTTAGCTTACAAAACTATAAAGCCCAGGAAATAAAGAAAGCCCCACTTATTCTCATATCATTAATGATCATATCCTAACCACACTGTTGCAGGAGGTCCGTGAAAATACGAATTATGAGGCCTCCTTGAAACATTCTCATGCCCAATTTTCCACACTAACGACTTCATTGCCCAGCAACATTCTGACAAATCATGTACCACACTAATGATAAGAAACAGATATAAAAAGGGCAATAAGGAAGTAAGGGCACAGTACAAGGAAGTCACTCGCTCAGTCTTTGGGATGGGGAGGTAAGAGAAAGCTCCTCAACAGAGGTGAAGCCCAGGCGAAATTTTGAAATATGGTGACAGTAATAATAACTACAAAATAAAGCTAGTGTCTCTGATGCTTCTGTGGAGTGACTTCTCTGGGGCAGGCTCTGAAGTAACGAGGGCTACCACTTCACCCCACCATGCTGCTCTTATGCCCCCATTTCACAAATGAGGAAATCGAGGCCCAGTGAAGTTTAAGTAACTTGCGCAAGGTCAAACCCCTAATAAATGGTGGAGATGCAGTGTTCTCCAGGTGCAAAAGTAAGTTTTGAGCGAGAAAAACAGCACGTATTAAACACAGACACGGGAAAGAACATAGTCACAGACTATAGACTATAGTCACAGGACACCGATACAGGGAAGGAAAATCGTTTGGATTTGCTGGAACAACAGGTATGAGGGGGCAGCTTGAGCCTGGAGAGGAAAGGAGAGGGCAGATCCCAGGACAGGTGTTGGTTCACAAGTCTGTAGCCGCTGGGAGACACTGAAGGGTTTTAAGCAGGATGTACGATCAGACATGGGCTTCACACTTGAAGGAACATGGGGTGGAGGGTTCGGAAGAGGAAATGAGCCACAGGAGAGCAGAACTTGCCTCTGCTGTTTGCAAAAAGCCTCCTGGAAAAATGCATTCCTACTGCTATGACTTGTTTTGTTTCCCTCAGAGCACAAGCATGATTTCCAGTCACAATAAAGCTCTCTGTATCAACACTGTTTTGACCTGTTTCTTTTGACATAATGTCACTGAGATCCCATTTTAAAGTTTTATTTGAATCAAAGTATTAAGTGCTTGCAAGCAGTGCCCTGGGATGCAAACCAATTTCTAGTGACAAATTCTTTGCTTAGGAAATAAATGCAGAATATCAATGAGAACTGTACTTAGTACATTTTCTTCTTTCTAATGATCATTGTGCTAAAGGAGAAGGAGGGAACTTGCAAATAAAAAGAAAGAAATTCAGTGAAGCATTAATCTGAGGTGGTAACATTCTAATGAAGATTAACAGTCTCCGATGCTTACTTGTTCAATAAATAAAATTTCGTTTACCATTAAAAACTGATTCATACAGAAGATGGCAGAAATTAAGCTCTTCGGGGGAATTTAGACAGAAACACAGGAAGTGCTTTGTAAAAATCTGAGAAACGTACCCTTGGTATTGTCTTTCAGGAAGTGATATTCCTCACCTCGATGCAATGACTGGCTGATCATCTCCACCATAGGTTTAATGGGCACCAGGAAAGCTGCTGGATCTGGGCTATTTGATTCACAATCTTTCTAACTGCACCACTACAAATTATATTCATTGTGTTTTACAGGTCTTTCAGCAAGCAACAAAGTGCTAATGAATATGTAATCATGCCTGGGACCTGCTGCCCCTTAGGCGGCTCTCAGGTAATATAACAGAAATGATGATAGCTCCTGGGATGTGAGAAAGGACTTTTGGGATGGCTGACAAATGGGGTAGGAATGGTGAGGCGGGTGAGGACTGGGTACCAAAGGAAGGGAAAAGAGAGTGAACTACAGACATAGCTAGATGCCAATGGAAACAACCTATGCAGATTGGGTTAGCGTGCAGAGCAGCTGTTGACTGCACTCAGCTCCCCACTGGAAGGTAGAGGTCAGAAACCAGAGGACTCCTCTCCCATTATCCATTGAACTCCAAGAGGAGACAATGGTTTTATTAAATTCACCCTGAATGAATAAACATTTCTACTGGGACTTGGGTTAAGCTATTTTTATTCAAAGAACAGACTGATACAGGTGCCACTCATGGCAAGGAAACAACAGTGCTCGACCATGCAGGGGATTATTAATCAAAGAAAGAAGCCCAGACAAGAGGCAACATGCTTCCCTTGCCCAGTATGAATATAAATTTGTTTAATCACGGAGCCAGGTTTGGCTAAAAATCATCTTTCTCCTTCAGCACATCAGATTTGAAGCGCTCTATTGCAAATCTTAAACGGTCAGAGGGAGAGAAGATAAATATATTATTTTCCAGAAATGTATCCAGTAAAATATGCGGGCATAATACAGTTTGGTGATAACTAGGATATGCAAGTTCATATCATAATCTGATTTTGTTTAATAAAAGAGTAAGGACTTTCTTATACCTTGGTCATGTATCACATAGATAAGTGCATTTCCATAACTTCTTTTTGGTATGTTGTATCATGACATTTATTTCTTAGTTGATAGCCTCAAAGTTAATAAGTCTGGTCCCAGTGTGTGTGAAATGCATTGCAAAGTGTGCTCAGTAAGAGAGGAGATAGGTAACAAAAGACCACCACCTACTCCACCCAACTCCATCGTGTTGTGACTCAGACCATTGCAATCGGCTATTCATAGCTCTCTCTATAGAATCTTAGACCTCTCCAATCCATTCTACACACCACAGTTATATTTTTAAAATGTGAGTCTTATGCTATCCAGCCTTGTAAAACCCTTCACCTCTTTCCATGGTCTACAAGACCCTATATGGTCTGGTCCTGTTTACTTTTCCAGACTTATTCTGAAGATCTTTCCCTTCCATTCCTCACCTAGTAGTTCGTGCCCCTCCAGCCTTAGAAGCCTGTGATGTGGTGGGACCTGTACCCACATGGACTCACAGCGCTGTCCACACCTGGTTACTTTCTATTCATCTTTCAGTCTCTGTCACTTGTCACAGAGACATTTCTAACACTCCATATTAAATCAGGTCCCCTGTTATATACAACGCCATATTCTTGTTCGCAGAACTTACCCTAATTTGAAAATACTTTCCCATGTGCTTTTGGCTTAATTGCTTTTATTCTCACTATGCCATCAGGATGCTTGCCTGCTTTTACTCATCCTTGACTCCTCAGTACCTGCACACTGCGTGAAATGTAGATTCTACAAGTAGTTGTAGAAAAAATAATGTCAACAAATGAACGAAAGAAAGGAAGGAGAAAAGCAAGATTAAAACACAAGTTTTGGGTGGGTCTGATATGCATTCCCTAGGTTCTATTTTTAGAAATTACCACAGTTACCAAATAAGTTTAAAGAAGTCACTCATGCTTGAAGCTGTCTCGTGGAGGCCATCTTGAGATAACTCTGAATCTGAGTGTTGGAAGAGATCTAAAATATTTTCCAACATACTGTTTTTCAAATTGTGGCTCATAACCCGTTACCGGGTTGTGAAATCAGTTTGGTTGGTTCTGACAAGCACTTTTTTTGGAGAAATAAAATAGATTGAATAACATAGAATAAGTTCTATTAACACGTAAGGCTAAACATTGTTTATGAAACTTCTGTTTTGGTGAATATAATGTGTGTCTCTGTGAGTATATCTACAGGGTTGTGATAAAAAATATTTTTCTTCCTGTGGGTTGCAGTCAAAAAAGCTTGAAAACCATGATACTAAGAGAACCTGCTGCCTACTGCAGAATTATTTTGCCAGATCCTCATTCAGACTCCACCTGAGCAAGGGTCAGTTCCGATATCTCCATCTAGCAAAGCAAGGGAAATGCATGACTGATATTAGTTATCGCTTCTAAAAGCTCTCAGGTTTTGGAGAAAAAGACATTGATTGATTCATCAAAGATGGAATCAATTAAAAACACACTTAAGGACAATACAAGTGGAAAATGCACAGGCTTCAGACAGACCCGGGTTCAATTACCACATGTGAATTTGGAGTTAGTCCCTTAAAGGAAACTGAAACTCAGAGAGGACATCTGTACATTGGGAATAATTTTATGCATCATGTGGCAAAGAGTAAATTAGATATAATGTTTGTAAAGTAATTAGCCCAAAGCATGGCACATGGAATAGTGGTAAAGAACTTGGCCCTGGAGCCAGACTGCTTATTTTCAAATCCTAGCTCTGCCCTTTAATGTCTTTATAACTGGAGCCAGTTACATAGCCCTCAGTATCCCCATCTATAATGGTACATACCTCATAGGGCTGTTGGGAAGATTAAGTGAGTTAATACATACGAAGTGCTTAAAACAGTGCCTGGAAGATAGCAAGTAATGGGTGTTAGCTATTATTATAACTACCTTTCTTCTTCCACCCATGAATGTAATACACCTCTGGTATTAAGCAGATTAATTTGTTTTATGCAGTTATTTCCTATTATATTATATGAAGTAACTATATGGAGATATTTATTGTCAATGGTATAATCAACATGGTTCCCATTAATTGAGCTCTTACCATGTGTCAGACACCATGCTAGGTACTTTGTGTATATAATTTATTTAATTGTGACTACAAACCTATGAGGTAAACAATATCATTATCACCATTTTTACTGATCATAAAAATTCAGATTTAGTCCTCAAAAAAATTAGCAAACCAAATCCATCAACATATTCAAAAAATTATACACCATGACCAAATGGGATTAACATCTGAAAATCAATTAATATAATAGATCATATTAATAGAATA